AGCTTTAGCCTTGTTTAGCTTCCAGCTAGCAGAAGAATGTTTGCTCGCGAAATAATCTTCCTCAAATAAACCGCTAATATTAATTATCCCCATCACTAATTGCATAAGAACCGTAATTATTCTATCTGTTTAGGCCTATTTCTCGAAAGAAAAAAAATATGGTACTAGCAGACAAGTGGTAAAGATAATGGTTTGGTATCTTGTCTACTTTCATATTTATTCAGCTTTGTTTATTTTTATGTTATGCTAAACTAAGAACAAAATTTCTTCGCTTTAATGGAACATTCCGGAAACATATGTACGTACGTATTTACAAATAAGCACATTGCTGTTTGGTTAGCGAATTGCAGAAAGCTTAAACCTGTAGCGCAATTTAACAACGGTACATTTTCAGAGAGATAGAGAAATGTCTTTAAATAACTAAAAAAAAAAAAAAAATAAATAAGTAAAATATAAACAATATTATAAAATAATAAACTTTTGCACATAAACTGGCAATAATCACCTCTAAAGTGCATGGAATGGTACACTTTTAGCAAATGAGCCGCAAACAGAATTTATACAAAGGAATTACTTTGCAGAACCTGCGGTGACTATTTCCCTCAAATATTTTCATAACACGGGTTATTTATTTACCAGCTTATTTAAATCTTTTTATCGGGAAAAAAAAAAAATATTGTATAAAAAAAGTATTCATATAAATTTTCCCGCATAATCAAACCCGGTTAATTGGTTTCCCCGCATAATTGGTTAAAAATATTTGCTATCGAGATAATATATAGCTTCGCGAATGTGCGTAAACATGAGCCAAAATACAAAAACAATATGTGAATGTGCGTGACAATATGTGATATGTGATCGCGAGCGTGCGTAAGGCAGTCAGCACACGGGTCGTATGGCATGTTATTCAGGTGTACGTGACGTATGAGTAACTTTCTTTCCTGCTCATTTTTCATACAAAAAATCTTGGCGCATTTTCATTCGACCACTCTTTACTTTTAATCCCTCGCTTTCCTTCATTAGTAACTTGAGTTTTTTTTTTTTACAACAGAACAAGCTCTAGCACAAATGCAAAAATTTGGCACAAAACTTGTTAGTTTTTAAATTTTTCTTCTGCTAAAGTTCGATTTTTTTAAATTTTTTTATTAAAAAATAAAAAAAATGGAATGATTAAATAATTTGTCAGAAACTAGCTGTTGAACATTTTTGCTATTAAACATGTGTAATTAACTGGGAGGTAGCCATAACCAGACATTGCTTTTGTTTTTGTAGCCAGCCCTTAGTTTTGTAGCCGTGGCAATGGGCTTACATGCACAACTATTTACACCATTGTATGCCCTGAAGTTGAACAGTTCTTATGGCTCTTTGATTCGATTAATAATCGATTAATGAAACACAGAACTCCGATACAATTAAATCATTAATTAGACACAAGTAATCGATTAATTTAAACAAATGATTAATGCTACCGAGTTTTATATATTTTTCACCAAAGCAAATTGCGAAAAGATCAACGATATTTTGTAATCTAACATGTACTCTATTATATCAGAATTGAATGAACTATATACATATGTACATACAAATATAATTGCATACCCTGAATGAAATAAAAAATGCTCATAGTTACGCCCGCACTTAGGTTTATATTATGCGGTGCAGTTTTCAGGTTTCCACACAAGGGTTAAGTTAATCAAGAGTGAAATATAATAATAGGAACATAATAGGAATAATAGTTATAATAGTTATAAAACAATAATTTACAAACTTTTTTCTGTTGCCTTTAAAGATGTATGTATGTATTTAAAAGGTATCTTTTTTCTTGTTTTCAGGGAATTTGAAGTGTTTAAAAAAAAAAATTCAGAACTGCACTAAGGCATTGTTTGAGAAACAAGGTTTTTGTGACTCTTTGTCCATCGTTAATGATACGGAACCATTTCAAGTTGACAACGCATGGAATACGGAACGCATGAAATTGTGGGATTATGTGTATAAAACATTTAAGTATGTAATGAGCACAAATATCGTCATAATCAAAGCAAAAAAATTAATAAATTGAAAGATGCCGTTTTTAATTAAATAAATTTTGAATTTTAGAGGAAGTAAGAGATGACTCCGCAGCCCAGCAACCACAACAAACAATGACTCGTGGATTTTGAGTACCCCAAATGCCCTAGTGCTGCTTGCTAACGCATCGGTTTAGGTGATTTGAAAACTCGGCATCAACTGCTTGGTAAATATACGGCGCTACGAATGCTCTCAAAGCTTCAGTTCCTGTGTCAATTGCATTTTGTAGGCGTGTAAACATATGCCCTTTGTTAAAATCTGCTGAACGGCGCTGAACGAAAGGTTAAATTGCTGTACACGATCACGAATTAAGTTAGTCGCGGCCTGGTCCACATTGTGTTCCACAACAGTAATATTTTCGGCCGAACGACCTGTACGAAGAAAGACGGGTGTCATCACGTTTTGCACCTACCCAGTTTCTTTGAACTTCTGCACCTAACAACTCAGATGGCCCGTTCTGTTGACCGAAAAATCAAGCAATGCACGAAATGTACCTCTTGCTGGGAACAACGATTTTCATAACAGGTTTGGTTGCCAAAACCTGTAGCACCAATTTTCTAAAAGAATTAAAAAAGAAACAGTAACATATCACAAATATTTAATTGCTTTCAATGATCTGTATCAAACTTGTATCACCCTATATATTTCTGATGTGACATAAATAGTTCTGCTGCCTAAGTGGCTACCAAGGCACATTAAACAGGTAGTATCAGTAGGGCAAAAACAACATTTGCGTGTATTTTGTTGTTGCTTCTGGTATCGAAAGTGTCAACAACTGTTCTGAATTTTTTCTTCTAAATCAAAGCGTGCCATGTGAAATACAAAAAATTATAAAAAATAAAAAATTGAAATTGGAAAAAATAAAAATTGTTGCAACTTTCTTTCCTAGTAAATTTGTTTGCTTCTCGAAGCATTGATCCATCCTTTACAAGGGCCAGTAATCAGCGGTTGTGCTGCTGAGTTGGGCGAACGTTCCAAAAGCTGCTATTCAATCGCTTGTTTTGTATGGAAAAAGGTTTCACATGCAAATGGATTTTAACAATTCAGAATTTTTGTGAGAAAAAATTAAAAATATTTGACATTTTCGAGACCAAATAATTTGAAAATAAATCAAATCAGCTGCTCTACTGATACTACCTGTTCAATGTACCTTGGTGGCTACGAACAAATTCTATAAGAGTGTAATCCAACTCCAAGTATCCGGAAAAATGTTATTCGAGGCACTTTCGATGCCCAAGAACACACCAAGTGCTAGTTCCTTAAAGGCTAGAGATTTTTCAACGGTTAGTTAACATCTGATTAGGAAACTTTGTCAACCAATAGGCTGCAAGCCAGACTGAATTTTCTGTCGTGCGTAATAAATATGTCATAGTCTTTAGAAGCAAAGCTTGTCGAAAGAAGAGCGTTCGTATTTACATGGAAGTGCCTTCAAAAGTACATCTGGTAGTATGTCGGTAGAAGACATTCAAATTGGAGAAGCAGAATTATTTATTTTACGGCATTATTTTCAAGTGCTTGCCCTCCGCGGCGGTTCTCCTATGTAATTGCAGAAATTATTCCAGAAGACCCGTTAGACTTAAACTTCATAAAAAAGATTCCTTGTAGGCAGGTCGGGAACCTTTTCGCTTTGCAACAGGAAATAATTTCTCAGGACTCTTAATTAATCCTCTCTGTTTTTGCTAAGCTATAGGAGCAGAATTGAAGAGTTTGAACTTTTGATTTTATACGCGCCACGATTTCCTATTGTTGCGAACATTGTAGCTCACCAATCTATACCACTTTTTATATTTCATCATTTAGTTAGGCGACTTACAGAAGGTTCCAAGACCAGCGCGAACTCTTATAAGAACAACAATGGCGACCCAGTGACTGATGTCCAGAACTTTCCTACTTAAATTATGGAGGCAACACTTTTCCACGCTACTGAATGGTAGAAGTACTGAAAGTTGTGAAGAAGATGAGCCGGAGTCCCCGGTCGATGTTGACGGAGTCGATGTTCTACCACCTGACTATGACGAGGTACAAATAGCAATAACGCGGCTGAAAAACAACAACGCTGCTGGAGCTGACAGCCTGCCAGCTGAGCTATTGAAGTACGGAGGCGAGGAGTTTGGCATACCCTCGAAACTGATACGGATGTGTAAAATGGCGTTGGGCAATACCACCAACTTCGTCAGACCTCTCCGAGCCGTTTTCTACCAAATGGCGTTTCAGACAGGGCGACTCCGTCCCATGTGATTTCTTTAATCTGATATTGGAGAAGAACCGAACCGCTCAGTAAAATTTTTTGCAAGAATATGCTATTGCTGGCATATGTCGATGGCATCGACATCATCGCTAACAAGAAGCGCCTAGGCACTCACTTCACTGTTGATAGTTATAATTTAGTAAAGCTAGAGAATTTCGTTTCCTTGGGAACCAGCCTTAACACCGGTAATAATGTCAGTATCGAAATCCAATGCAGAATAACTCTTGCCAACAAGTGCTACTTTGGACTGAGTAGGCAATTCAGGAGTAAAGTCCTCTCGCGACATATGAAAACAACACTCCATAAGTCACTCATCATGCCCGTGCTGGTATATGACGAAGAGGCATAGACAATGACAGCATCCGATGAGGCGGCTCTTGGAGTATTCGAGGGAAGAGTTTTGCGGGCCTTTACGCATTGCCGACGGCGAGTACCGTAGACCAGACATGGTCACATGGCCCGTAGTAGCTTTTTTGCACGTACGGGCAAGCGAGCCCATTTCGCGGGCTAGATCAGGGGAAATCACGGGCAAACAGGAAGTGGGCAACGATTTTTACTAATACATGCAGTGTTGTCAACTTTTGAGTTTCAAAAAGCACCAAATCTCTGGAAAAAAGAGTGTTTTACCACACTAAAAGCATAAATTTTTTTTTTTAATCGAAGGATACTTTTTTATAACAGTTTGGGCTTAACAAAAGTAAAAAATAAACAATATTTACAAGTATAAATAAATACACAAAACTTGTTCGCTCATAACGATTGAATAGCCTTTACACATGCTATTATGATTAATACATTTTTTTATGGAAATTAGTGTTTTTATGTACAAGTAAAAATCTATGTAGAATTATAACTCTTCGACATCAAAACCACTACTGACCAGTCTTGTATTTATTTTGATTACAACTCAATAAAAGGTTTTATATACATATTCCCACAATTGCATGCGCTCAGTGTTCCATGCGTTGTCCACCACGAATGGTTCTTCTTCTTTGACGATAGACAAATAGTCACAAAAGCCTTGTTTTTCAAACAGTGCTTTAGTGCAGGGCTGTATTTTATTGAACACTTCAACTTCTCTGAAAATAAAATATAAGCACATATTAAAAAAGTATAATACCCGTCATACACCCAAATCAATTTAACTCACCCGTTTTTAGCGAACTCCACATAAATTTCCACATATCGTTTTACCAACGCAGCCTCTGCCGACGATTTGGCATATCCATCCGGTGCTATTTCTTGCGAGGTGAAAAGATATAATGAATCATCGATGTGGGTAGTCCCAAAGTCTTTTGTGCTACCCGTAAACAGCTCTGAATATGAGTAAGGCCCACGATAATTGAACAGTATATATCCTTCAGGAATTGTTCCATTACTAGATTCCACATTATCGGCAATTGCTTTGTATGCTGGATACACGAAGTAGGAATCACCTAAAAGCTACGTAGAGGGAATAAAATATTTATTTCAACAACAGCTTTCATAAACTACCTCTAAGAAACCATCCAATGTGTCATTATTCAACTCTCGAACTCCACCCATATATTCTGCCAATAAACGTTCTACCACATCGTTGACCTCATTCGATTCGTCAGCAGGCAAATTTGTGAGTAGCTTAAATAAGTCATCAAAGTTTTCGTTAAACTCAGCTTGCAAATTCGCAGCAGCAGCAAGTTTTGTAGCTACGATGATGCCTTCGCCTTTCGACGGTGTATCACCTGCAATCCATGGCACTGTCTTCGGCGGCTCTTTATCGAGTAATTCACGCACGTTGGTTGTTAAAAATGGCTCCGGCCATGATGCATCTTCAATGGTGGGTCGAAAACTTATGAAAGGATAAATGGACCAAATTTTCAATGCATCGCAAGCTTCCATCAATTGCTCTGCCGGTAAATTACGCAAAGCATTAGCAAGTTCTATAGAAGATATGTTGGAAGCATTTGTAATTCCAGCAGCTGTGGCTAATTGAATGGCTTGCGCCTTTTGGTCAATTGGCTGTGCCCAAACCGTATTTGCAACACCACTAATTGGAACAGCATTACGAAATAAGCCTTTAAATTGACAAAACATTGCATTATAATTTTTTGTTTATTAATAATGAAACAAAAAGGAATACCTTGTGAAGCAGGGCTTAGCATATGAAAATGGACAGACACACCGCCAGCACTATGACCGAAAATGGTAACACGCGAAGGATCACCACCGAATGCGGATATATACGATTGCACCCATTTCAAGGCTAAATTCTGATCCTTGAATGCAAAGTTACCTGTCATGTGCTCGTCACCACTACTTAGAAAACCTGAGAAAGTTTCGTTAAAGCAGTGAATTCAATGAGTCTTTGGCGCTTGGGAATAAAACAAATCGCACGATCGATCGTTAAGTACATAAATGGATACCAATACTCACCAAATGGACCCAAACGATAAGCAATGGTCACCAATATAACCTGGTTCGTATCCATAAAATATTCAGGACCATAAAATTCATGATTTGGAGTGCCGAAAAAGAATCCACCACCGTGTATATAAATCAAGACAGGCAGGTTTTCATCAGAACTATTCTGAAAGTAGAAAATTTCAATGTATGTAATTGCATTTGTAGATAGTAAAAAAAAAGATTAGCTTTTAACTGAAATTGAAATAAATAAGTTAAGGAGCGGTTAAACGTGGCAATGCAAGCGCTTTTTTAAGCATTTTGCTGTCAAAATGTGGAAATCGAAAGTCTACTTTCCCGTGTAAGCAGTCAGAAAGTCCTTTTTGCAGATTTGTAGAAGTCACTTTCGGCAATAAAAATTGCAAGGTGTAACCGCAACTTAAATTACGCAAATCGCTTTCGAGAAATAGTTTTAGCTTGCAAGTGCTGTCAAACGAATCGAGTGTTGCCGTGTGACGCGTTTTTTGGCGAATTCGCAAAAATGCAATCTATTTTGGAAATTCTTGAGTTTCACAGACTTTTGAAAAGGATTTGCACTTGCCACGTCTAACAGCTACTTTAGTATGCATGTTTCAGTTTTTTTTAACGATATGGACGATATGTGGTTTCAAAAACACGGAACCGCATGCGGCATAAGCTATAAGGTGACCATATTAACCAACGTAAAATGAGGGACATTTTTTTTTCAAAATGATTTGGGAATACGTACATACAACTTGTATGATAAAAGTATTTACCTTACCCATATCGTAATTTAAATCAAATATTTACCAGTTAATTATATTATTTAATTGTACCAGTTCCCCGGTACCGATTAAATAGAAACCCTCAAGTGGGGTGCGAAACAAACTGGCGAAGGTTTTCATTATATTTTATAGGGGACATTTTTATTTTTCATATTCTGCGTTTAAAAATTTACCCCTGAAAAATGAAGAGCCGATTTAAAGGACAGTTTAAGAAATAAAGGACAAAAGTCGTGCTTTATTATGAAAAACAAAAATATAAAGGATAGGGGGCTAAGATAAAGAACTGTACTTTAAAATAAAGGACGGATGGTCACCGTACCTATACTCTTCACAACACGTCTTATACTAAGTGCCGATTTCCCATCCGTATAGATTTTAAAATTTATCTGCCCTTCAAACTGATTTTTTCGGAACAAAATTTGTGTTTAGAGGTTAAATAAATTTTAAAACCGACTTGAGAAGACGGCCGTAGGTCCCCCAGATAATTCAAAAGCGTTTCGGCAATAAATATATTTAAGCTGTGGCCTCATTGAGCCCAGACGGCATAGCACTCAATGACAATATGAGCTGTTGTGTTCCTGGTTGAGTCGCAGAAACAACAGAGATCATTTGACCAATTCCCCAATCTATTCATATTCTCTCTTATCCTACAGTGTTCTGTAAATTTATTTTTTTGGAGATTGATTAGTTATTGGAATCTCCTAATCGTGTGCCCACTTAGTCTGACGCAGTCCGTCTGTTTAGCAATGCAAAGTGTCAGCCTGGTGCACCCTTTCAAAGGGAAGTGATGCCTCTTGTTGCCTTGTTGCCAGAGCTGGGTCGTAATGATTCCTTTAGGAATTAAATTACTCCCAATTACAGATTACAAGGAATTGTAATTAGGATTCAATTCCTTCAGTTTACAGCAAAGGAATCGATTACTTTTTCAATTCCCTGAAGTAATTTCAAATGTAATTGGTTTTTTCTTTAATTCCATTACAAGGAATTTCATATTGTAATTGAAATCAATTACGTGCTAGTAATGTAAATTTTTTTTTTCAATTCCTTTGAAAGGAATTGAAAATGTAATTGATTTTTTTTTTCAATTCCATTACCTGGAATTGCAAGAGTACTTTAGTTTTTCAATTCCTCAAAGGAATTGTAAAAGTAATCGAGAAACTGAAAGTTCATTCACGAATGTACAATACGGAATTTTTGTTGTGGTCAAAGATTAAAATCGAAAGCACACATTGGACATCTTTCTATGTATGTATATCTTCTATATCTATATATATAAAAATGTTGTGTTCGTATGTCACGGTCGTCAAAACTCGAGAACGGATGAACCGACTTGAATATATTTTTTTTTTTTGTTTTATACAGAACCAATGATATCGCAAAAAATTTGAGGGTTGCCACATATTTGAAAATTTTTAAACCCAATTATATTGATAAAATAAATGAATTATTACAGTATGGGTATCAAATTAAAGAGGTTTAAGAAAGATGACTGATCGAAATATTTTTGGGGAGGATTGCCACCTAATTTAAAATTTTAACTCAGTTAAGTTGATTAAGTAAATGAAATATTGCAATGTGGGTATCAAATTAAAGAGTTTTAAGAAGGCTTACAGCCGAAAATATGTATGATTAAGGTTGCCACCTGTTTCAAAGTTTAACTAAATTACACTGATAAAATAAATTAAATATTACAATATTGGTATCAAATTAAAGACGGTTAAGAAAGATAACTGCTGGAAATAGTTTTGAGGAGTGTTGCCACCTATTTGAAAATTTTAAGTCAAATTCAGTCAAATTGATAAAATAAATGAAATATTGCAATGTGGGTATTAAACTTTAAAGTTTTACGAAAGCTTACAGCCGAAAATATTTTTGAGGAGGGTTGTCATCTGTTTGAAAATTTAACTTAAGTTAATTGATAAAAGAAAACTTATTATATCGGTATCAATTTAAAGAGGTTTAAGAAATATGACTGTTGGAGACATTCTTGAAGAGCGTTTCAACCTATTTAAAAGTTTAACTCTGTTAAATTGATAAAATAAATGCAATATTGCAATGTGGGTATCAAATTAAATAAGTTTCAGAAAGCCTGACAAATAGCATTAGGCAAAACTTACAAATCTATATAAAACCAAGAGAGGAAGAAAAAATAAAAAATAGGTATAAAAAAAATTAATTAATTAATAAAAATTAAAAAAAAAAATATGGATTAGGGCATGGCTGCTAACACCAAATATCTTCCAAGTTCATGTCTTCAATCTCCGGCAATAAAATACTGTTTGTCATACCTTTCTAGTCTCATGCCTCTAGTGCTTCAGCAGAATTTTCAATGAAAAAAGCCATGCCAATTTTTCCCCATGAGTATGGAATTGATCTTATATATGTATATATCCCCATACCCAGTTTTAGTCCTCTAATACAAATATATGCAGTTTGAAAAATTCGGTTTGTATGGTAGGTGCCACGCCCCTTTTCTATATCGAAACTTTTTTCAGCCTATAACCATCCTTGGAAAGTCTGCAGTAGATTCCTAAATTTCAAAAAAATCGGTACGGCCTTTCTCGAGCTTTGCGAACAGAAAAAAACGGCTTTCAAAATATATATTAGTATAGACTAGCCAATATCTGCTTGCTTTGCGGCTTAAAACACTATTAACGATGAAAATCGATGGATATATAAACAAGTTTGCAAGGGTTAAGTGAAACTGCAATAATTTTTTGTATGAAATACTAGCAGGAAATAATGTTACTCATACGCCATATCGTACATGACCGTTTGATCATGTTTAAGTTTGAATTTTTTTCATTCGCAATGCAAACTTAAAATGAAAATAACTTGACTAAATGACCTTATCTAAAAAAAACGGTGTACAGGTCTGTAACATACTACCCAAAATTAATTTTGCGTGTCTCGGCGTTTTTTGTGTAATTTTAGCGTCATTACAGTGTTATCATCAAAATTTAGCCATAGCAATGCAATTTGTTTATAAAACTCTTAGGTGGTAGGATCTCCAGTCTGACAGGGTTCGTAATTCAAGCGGAGTCTATCCTCATTTGTAACGCAGGATACCAGTAAGAGTACTTCAAAGGCTCCAGAAGGCACGCCATTTTGGGTGGAATTAAGGGTACCATAATATACACAATTAAGTCAGTGCATTTTTATAGATACGCAGGGATTAGTCCAAGAGAACAGCAGTGCCCAAGGTAGCAACAGTCCGGGCGGGTTATGCGTGCTTCGACATTTACGGGTCTCATCTGCCGCGAAGCGCGTTCGCGGTATGATCTGGAAAATTTATCCGTTACTGACTGAACAGATACAGTTTAAGTTATTCAGTTTTCTTAAAGTTCAATTAGTAAAACTACTTAGGTATAAGTTATTTATTCAAGGCAGTTAGCAACCAAGAAATTTATCAAAGCTATTGCAATTCAACAGTAAAAAAAATTTTTTTTTTTAGAAATTTTTCAATTACTTTTTAAATTACTTTGAGGAATGGAATTCAAAAAAAATCAATTACACTTTCAATTCCTTTCAAAGGAATTGGAAAAAAAAAATTACATTTTCAATTCCTTTCAAAGGAATTGAAAAAAAAAATTACATTACTAGCACGTAATTTATTCCAATTACAATATGAAATTCCTTGTAATGGAATTAAAGAAAAAAACAATTCCATCTGAAATTACTTCAAGTAATTGAAAAAGTAATCGATTCCTTTGCTGTAAACTGGAGGAATTGATTCCTAGTTACAATTACTGAGGAATGTAATTGTAATTGTAATGTAATTGCATTTACCCAGCTCTGCTTGTTGCATACATTTAACTTTTTTCCAAAAAATATCGTTCTCTCTATGTCGTCTCTAGGAAACAGTGTTAGCGAGAGCGGATAACCTATCTTCTCCACATTCTTATACCATGTCCCCACCAGAGCTTAACCACGTAGTTATGGCTGTTGAGTTGGTTATCCCGATAACCCACTTGATCTAGCGTTGTTTCGCCATATAAAAATGACAGCATTTAACCATTTCACTGAGAAGGTTAAAAGCTAATCAACTCGAAACCACGTCGAAAGTCTGATACAACCCTGTGTTTTCCCGCCATCTGTGGGTCATTAGCGTTAAAATGTAAAAAATTCGTTCCCTACTGGTGTTTGGACTTAACTAAGATCAGATTAGATTTAGTCCGGTTTTAAAAAAAAATGTGGTATCTACTTCTCTACTCCGCTTGACTTCAAATCTATTATGTTATGACCCTCTTGGGGCCTTTTTTTGAGTGTTCACCACCGGTTTCAGTAAAAAAATTGAAAGTTAGCCAATTCTCACTGTTAAAAAGAAACTCTTTCATAGCAATGCGTCAATAAAGTAACTTCGTTATTTTTTGATGTATGGCTGTAGAAATTGGCGGATGCAGAACTTAAATAAAGCAGTTAAAAAATATACGTAGAATGAAATTTATATAAAGTAGAAAAGGTTTAGATCCTATTGCTCTTTAAAAAATTAAGAGTTAGATACGTTCTATTTTATAGAAAATGCTAAAAATTACCTAAATATGTAACATGTTATCCTTACATTGCCACGCGTTCTTATTTTTGCATGAATAGAAAATATTTAAGTCAAACAATTAATGTTAGAAACGAAAATAAAAAATTCATTCTAGTACGGAAAATTTGTTTTTGCTCCGATTTTTGCAGCGATTTAGTCCTGAATCGAGTTTTGGAGGTCCGAACACTGTTCCCTACATTTGTACTGTTTTATAAACCTCAAACCGCAGTGTGGACAGCAATAGTTAGTAATGTGGTTAAGTTCGACTTGAGATGGTTAACTTTTTGGTGGGGTCATGGTATTAGAGGATATAGCTTTACTACAAACAGTTTACTATGACTGAGTCCGAATCTGACCGCAGAATCGCTTTACCGCGTCAGTATTTTGAAATATCGCCGTCTTCAAAAGAAGCACAACTAAAAAAAAAATTTCGTATCCGGAAACGAATAGAAACCGAATTCATGTTCGTATCCAGAAAACGCTCGAAACGTTCGAAAAAGATAGTGTAATTTGAAAGCAATAATTGTATTTGATTTGTTCAAACTAAACATTTGAAAGCATGCATTCGTAGTCAGCAGTGGCTGAGCGTGCAGAGGATAGGATCGTGCCGCTATTTCGAATTCCATCAGGCGCTTCCTTAATTTAATTTCATTTTTTTTAATCAGAGTACTTCTTCTAGTTTAGTTGCCGGGTCACAGTAACATCGCGGAAAACTGCGTGGCTGCTGACCTGGGGTTGGAAAGGCACCCTTGAAACGTTATCCCCCGATAAGGAGCAATTAGGGACGTCTCTGTCCTCCTGCGGTTCACTCTTGCATGGTTGGGCCTAGTCGGCGAGCGTTAGACTAACATGCATACTTCGTGCTCGCTATAATGAAATTGCATATTCTATTAAATACATAATAAAATGGACAACAGAAAGCGATGCTCCTTTTGTGGCATAAAAGAGGAGAAGGCGTTTATCCACTGGAGAAAATGTTTTTATAAGGTACTTTGAAATACTTTTTGTAGCGCTAGTAACGAGTGATCCATCGTTACCCCTTAAAGGTGCCACGTTACCTCTCAAGAGCTAGTGATGGGGGTTCTGAAAGGCCATTGTGCGATTGATATTCACCCGGTAAGACTAGGAATTTCAACAGATTCCTTTTGTATTAGCTGTCAACGGGAAAATGAAGTGGAATCATCTCCACACTTTCTTTTAGACTGTCCAACCTTCGTGAGGCTAAGGTAATCGGCTCGCGGCGTTAACCTAACCCAACCTAACCTGTACTTCTTTGAGCTAAGAAATAGTTGGTCACATTAGGTATACCAGTCAACAGGTTCTACCGCAGCCGCAAGAGTTGCTAAGAGAAAGTTGAGTAAGTTGACACTTGGCAAATTCAATGGCCCCGAGATACTTTATGTCAACTGAACGACAGCCAACAATTTGTCTTATATTGAACGCCGTGTGGTGAACTATCGTAACTTAATGAATTCTCTTAAGTTTGTACTAACTCAGTCAAGCACGAATGTTCATCTTATCTCAGCGCTTTGAGACAAACTATCGTAACTCAGATGCGCCTATTTTTTGTGTCTTATGTTAAGCTGTGAAGTTGTAGAGTTAAGACACAAAAATTAGACGCGTCTGAGTTACGATAGTTTGCCTGACAGCACTGAGATAAGATGAACATTCGCGCTTGACTGAGTTAGTACAAAGTTAAGAGAGCTCATTAAGCTACGGATAGTTCACCACATTGTTGGCTGTCGGTTAGATGACAAAAAGTAGCTCGGGGCCAACGAATTATTCCCGCAAAGTATTTCATAGTGCAATCATCTCTCTCTGTATGATATTCTGAAAATCATCCAAATTTCTAAGGGGTTGTAGGCTTTCACGAGTGTGTGATTTAAGAAAAATATATATATCTAAATTCGCCAATTGCTTGCCACTTGCTCAGCAAAATATCGGACACATATATTTGCATGTATATTGGATTGGTGTGCGATGAAAAACGTTGAAAAGTGAAAATACTCACCGCAGGTCGATACACATTCAAATAAAGACAGTCTTCATCGCCAGTTGTATTAAGGGGAGTTATAATGTAATTCCTTTGTATACATTCTGTATGCGGCTCTTTTGCTAGAAGTGTGCCATTCCATGGCTCAACTGGTACGGGATTCTGTCGCATAGGCAAAATTTTTAAACACATTTTTCGAAACCCTTAAGATATTTAACTTTTTTCTCACTTTAAATCTTAATTCACCAATCGGCGGCTTAGCAAATGGCACGCCATAGAAAGCTGCATATCTTTCAACTTCGTTTCCAGGTTCATAAATGCCCTCAATGCATCCCAATGAGTCAATGCAAACTTCCGGCGCGCCTGCTTTTGTGGTAGCAGCATTCAAATAAAATATTAAAATTATTATAAGACGATAATACATTTTGATTAACGTTATTCGAAAGAAGTCAGGTCGCACAGAAATTTGCACAGGCTTTTATACTATCTCGAAGTTAATTATTGTTGTTGGATTCTATGCGAGAATAAAGTGAAACAAATATTGATTTTTTACTCATATTAAATGAATTTTTAAGTTAACTAAAATTTGTTTATCTCTCTCTGCAAATATCGCTAGCTTAGAGTGAAAAATTGCTAAGTCCAGTTTTTATGAAAACTCATGTTTTGACACAAATAGGAAACAAGGGATATTAAAAAATGTATCGTTTCGAATAGGATTAAGGTACTTTTTTATTCGTGACGTGCAATCATGTCAATGGAATTAATGTCAATGACATTAATACACAGGCGAAAAGTGAAATAATTTCACTGCACTTTTAAAGCTGTATACTACGTAGTACGTACATATATACGGGGTGTCCAGGAAGTCATGGATAACCCTTCAACCGCCAGTGGGCGACATTACGGTCTACCAGATAAAAAGATATAAACTAATAAAAAGTGTCATGGTTTTCGAGATTTTTTGGAAATCTCTACCATAGTGTCGCGCGCTGGCGGTTGAAGGGTTATCCATGACTTCATGGACACCCTGTATGTATGTATATTAAAAGTGGATTTTGTCAATATATTTTGAAAGAGCAGTAACGTCCACGAATTTCATTGCGCTTTCGAAAAGGTAATATAAGAAACTAGTGAACCGGCATGGCGTTAAAACGCCCATATTTCTTCCAAATCCATGTAGCCGTCTCGCATAGTAAATTTTCAATATTATTTAAATTAATTTAATTTTAAATCACCCTGTACCGATAAAACGTTTCTAACTTCAAAAAATAAAACCAGTTTGCACATCTAAAGGCCAAGCGCTTTAACTTTACACCCCATTTTTGAAAATCGAGCGAACGGTGCAGACCTTTTATGCTGCACAAAATATGCCATCGCGGCTCCGCTGGCTTGGTCATGTCATTCGAATGGACACCGACGCTCCAGCTCTGAAAATATTCAACTCGGAACTCGCTGGTGGTAGCAGAGGAAGAGGACGGCCCCCACTGAGATGGAAAGACCAGGTGGGGAAGAACTTGGCTTCACTTGGCATTTCCAATTGGCGTCAGTTGGCACAGAGGAGAAACGACTGGCGTGCCTTGTTGAACTCGGCCAAAATCGCTTAGGCGGTTACAGCGCCAAATAAGAAGAATTGCCCATGGACGTTACTTCCGTTGCGCCTTATTACACATTACCACAATACTTTAATTTTTTAGCATTTCTGCCATTAAATCACTTTTAAATGTTGTATTGAAAGATTTGCGAAATACTGGAAGTAAATGGCTATCAGAAGTTTTTCCCTCTCAAATAAAATTAAAATAAAAAATGAACTTAGCAACTTTGCCCTCTAAAGCAGGGTCCAAACGGACCTGAAATTAAAACGATCGGTTGAAATTCATTTCGCCACATGCGTGGTTAACTGTTCTAATTGTACGTAAATATGAGTAAACATGAAACACGGAGAGACAACATTTGCCATGTAAGGTGTTTATTTGTGCACAAAAAGAACATAAATTCAACAACAAAATAGTATTTAATTATAAATAATGGACACGAAAAAAACTAGTCGATTATGTTTACTCATGACTTGCGTAAAACTAACTGTAAATATAAAGTAAGTATACACATTCATAAGGTACTTTGTCGTTTATTACCATCGCGTATCCACTTTTTGTAACTTCTACGTATTCTTCGAAATGTTTTCGGCGAAGTGTGAGCTTGCGGAGAAAATTTTGATCAAAAATTAAGAAAAAGTATGTGTGGACGAGGAAACATACGTCGAAGCAGCCTTTAAGCAGGTTTGGGGCGCTGAGCTTTATAATGCAACGCAGACAAATGGAGTCCAAGATGCCTTCTAGCTAAAAGCTAAAAATGTTGGACAAGCTCCTTGTTTTTTGTCATTTTTGGCCTAATATATATACTTGGTGTAGCAAGCCATCTGCTCTATTAGTTTCTTAATAAATGTTCTTGCCATTTTTCCGCTATGTGCACACTTCAAATTTTCAAAAGAAATGACAAAAATCGTCACCTTCGGTCTCACAAAGCAGCTCCCCCACACTGTAGCATATACAGGATTTTATTTAGGGAGGGGCTATTGGGATTAAATTGTCGTCTAATAACATTAAATTACAGGCATCTGACTTGATTCACAGCGGAGTGACCAATCGAAGCTATGTGACCTACACAGGCATCCAACTCCCCCAACATGAAATTTTACAGCAAAAAACAAAACGGAGCACAATTCCCGTATAAAAATTTAAAATTATCGTTAATTTCTTCATGATCCAATGCTCGGATCTAAACCAAGTTAGTATGGGACCAGCTCTGAGGTTATACTTTTCCTTTAAAAAAAGAATTATTGCAATCGGTTGACTCGGTACAAAGTAATGCGGTAACGTATGTACATAAAAAAATAAAAAAAAATATTCCGACGAATTGATAACCTCCTCCTTTATTTGAAGTCAATTAATTAGTTAGTATACATATTTTAATTTTTTTTTAACGATATACACGAAATGTGCTTTCAGCAACACAAAATGTACACAGAGAAATTTACGTTTTCAAATTTGTATGGAACGTTTTATTTTTAAAAACGTTTTGACCCAGGTTTTGCACCTACAATATTTATTTTAGTTTTGAGAAAAAAACATCCTCAATTCATATTCTAAAATGTATATTTTAGTTTTTAAAATTAATATTTTCAAATCTCTTTTTAAAACGATCATGTGATAATTGGAAATTCTCATATTCAGATGAGATTCTAAAATTTTTATTTTATATACCAAAATATGCGTTTTCAAATATGATTTTGAATTTCTATTTTGACTAAAACACAAAGTCATTTGATATTTAAAACTATACATTGTCATACATTTATTGATATATGTACATATGTAGACANTTTATGCTGGTTCACCTCTAGACCAACCTTTTTAGCTTCGTTTTCTAAGCTGAAAAATGCTGAGCCGACATCCCTGGGTTTCAGGTCAACGATGGCAATGTCATCCGCATACACCAGCAGCATAGTTCTTTTACTGTATATGGTGCCGCTGCCAAACAATTTGGACGGAGCTGAAAGTTGTGCTCAACGTCATTATAATAGCCAGTCGGCAATTCCAACGTAGAGAGCAGGGCTCAATTTCTGATCATTGTGAAATGCTGCACAAAATTTGTATACCTCGGTGGACATGGGCGGCTCGCTCACGGAAATCAAAAGCATAATTAACGTAATTTAGCATGCTATAGCTAAGCAGACATGGAGCTGTACAGAATCGCTTAATACTACCAGATAGGTGTGGAATACATACGAGGCGCTTAAAACCAAGGCTCTTTAGGAATAGCAAGGAAAATACCTACAAACTTATGGTTGTTTTCCAAGGACATTGGCGTGTGGATGTGCTCGCCGAAAGGATCCGCATACCAGCCAAAAGGTTCTACCGCAGGCAAGTGTTCCAAGTATCCAGGCTTGCCCACTATTCCCGTGGAGTATTTCTGTGCTAAAGCCTCTCCCTCTATGATATTCTGAAATTCCTCGAAATACCAAAAGCCTTTAGATGTACACGAGTGTATGATAAAACCCGATGTTTAGCACCTTACCAAATATATCTTAACATAAGTTTTCGAAAAAAAAATTACAAAAAAATTTTTGATTCTCACAAAATAAACCATCTCGTCATAAAGAAAAATATTTTAAAAATAGTTCTTGAAAAACCCCAATTTTTTCGAACCACGCTTTTTATAGAGGATTAAACAAGAATTACGATGGTATAATTTTAAATCCCTAATTTACTGGTCTTCACTATGCAGATCAACTTCAAACAGTTCAACGGTTAATAGCTGTTTAGGCGAGACTGCTAACACTGGGCGCCTAAATTCGTTGTTGTTGTTGTTGTAGCAGCATACAAATTCCGCAAAGAGTTTTTGGGGAGTGTTGCTGGAGTGACAGTCCTTGGCCAAATATAAATCTGGGTCGTTCCGGTTACGTAGACCCGACTGTCGTGGGAACGGCCTAAATTCGTGCTATGTACTGCTGCCTGTGTAAAAATTTCCTTTATGCAATTTATGAAATTTTTGCACATGCACTTCTCAACTGCCAAGTAATTGAATTTTCTTAAGTTTCAATAAGATGGCACTTCAAAGTATGCTCGGCCTAGTCTGGTGCATTCTCCGGACACTGCTTCCGGAGCATTTTGCGGACTCTGCATGACTTACAACCGTGCAGAGGTGGTAAATGAACTTTACCATTGGCCACAGTGCCTACCCACTATTTTTGAACCAATAAATATTTTTTTTATAAATACATCCATGCAAACATACTGGTCTCCCCTCTCACTGAGTTATTCAATAGCTAAGATAGCTTTAGGACAATCTTGACCATCTTATATATAGAAATATTAAGCCCGTTTCTTAGCTTTAAAATGATATTAAGATGAAGTCTCTACGGTGAGCAGAACCCGAGATATAACGATTTGAAGAAGTACATGATTAGTCAGTGTAGGGTATTTTACTTGTATGTTTTTATATTTGTTTAAATTCTTGATTTTCAATTTATGGTTCTATGAATTTGTTTGTAGTTGAAGATAAAATTTTTGATTATTAATAAATAAACTTTCAACATATAAAAAATTTAAGATTTAAACTAAATATATTTAGTTATTAAAATATCATATAAATGATATAGTCAGAATCACGAAAAAATATGATCTGCCCGAAGAAGAAAAAGAAGAAGAAAAAAATTCCTCGAACACGTTTTAGCTTATTTCATGTATAGAACCCATAAAACAAATTTGAAGCGAATCGGAGACATGACATAATTTTTTTTTTTACGAAATCCGTCCGACTTAAAAAAGAAAGGCTCATATGCATATGTTACCGGCCAAACCCGACCTTAGGACAAACTAGTTCTTCCAATACGTTCCAATTTTCGCTCTCTATTACCCATTTTTGGAGT